ACCCACTCATCAGAGGAATGTACAAGCAGAGCTGAGTGGCACCCTGGAGACAGACTAAAACCAAACAGTGCTCGGAGGGCTCCGCAGGAGCTGTGCAGGAGAACACATTATGGACACCCTGGGGAAGAGAAATCTCCTTTCTCCCAGCCTTGGGAATGGCACACAGCCAGGATCCATAATGCACCTATCCTGCACCTGATCAAGACTAAATAAATGTTATTAAGTGTTAAATAAATGCATGAAGTCAGGTCTTGGTCCCCAAGCCCGCCTGTATACAATATCTCCCCTCCTGGAAGGGGGGAATTCACTAAGGCCTAAAAAAGACCACTTACTGTGAAATTCTCCAGCTCACTGCTGTGGCTTGGTGTGGGCTTGGGTATAGGAACACCTACTCTGTGCCAGCGTGGTCCTGCCAGCTGCCTGCCCAGGCAGCAAAGGGATCAGCAGCAGGCTGGGCTGTGGGAGCAGAGGCATGGCCAGCACGTCACACAGCACTTGAACCACATCAAGACATTGCCCATAGTCTCAGGAGCCCCAAGAGAAGTCCCAGTGTCAATTAACTACAGGAAATTCATCCAGGGCCACTGAAATATCCAGGGAAGCTGCTGAGGATACTGAGCCAGGCTCTTCACAGCAACCTATAGCAAGAAAAGTGACAGTGGGCATATCTGAAACAGAAGGTTCCCTCTGGATGCTAGGAGATTTTCCCTTCTTTATCTAGGGTCAGAACCAAGAGAAAACCACCACAGCAACTTTAACAACACCACTCAAGGCTAAGCAGAATGAAGCCTTTGCCCTTCTCCCATTGCCAAATTCACGACTATGGAGACAGAGCAACGTATGGAAGGAAATTAAGGACAGCTCTGTCAACTGAGCACCAGCACTCCTTCACACCAGGAGCAGAATCTGGATTAGCTAACCCATTTCACATCACCCTTTCCACCATCCTCTCAAAAATCAAACACTCATGTAACATGTATGTGCACACACACTGCAAGACCTGAGACAACTTGGCCTGAGGAACCATTCCAAATATGCAGCTTGCATGACTGGTCCTGATCCAAATATCCTTGATTGCTTTTGACAAAGAAGGAAAACTCATGAGATACAGCATGTCAGTGGCTACACCTTGGTGCTTGGGAGGTTTAGGGTGAACAGTAGGAAAAAATCTCTTGGCTGGGAGCGTTGCACAGCTGAGAGCCAGGTACCCCAGGAGATGGAGGATGCCCGTGCTTAAGCCACAAACCCTCAGCTCATCAGCCACACCTTTCTGATGTGACATCCATAGCAGTTCTGCTCTGGAGCTCCAAGGGCTCTGTAGGTCTATGCAGATGCAAGAGCAGGATGAGGGATTATTGACCTTATCTTGGTCACCAACTCCAAGAAGAGATCTCTCAGCCACTTCATTCCTACTATCTAAACATCAGGTCCCTTCTTGAAAGACAGCAAAAGACCACCTAGAAGCTGTACTGCCTGGGGCTGTGCCTGGGGGGGACACACCTCAGCCACCTTCAGATCCAAACACTGCTAAGCACACAAAAACTGCATCAAGTGACAACAGCAAAGCTTTGGCAAGACATCTGTCCATCTATAAATAGAGCTTAACTGTGTGTCCTTATCACAGGGCTTTGATGTGTTTGGGGAGAATATTTTCTTCCCCTTCACCACCAAGTCCCAGGCAGCAGAGATAATGGGCTTGAATCGATCTAGCTCAAGTATTGCTAAACTTCCTACCACTGTGGCAGCATGCCAGCCTCAAATAGGACAAGAGAACATGTGTCTGTTCAGAGCCAACCACAAGGAGCAGGCAGAAAATTGGGAAGAAGATGAGTAGGTTCAAAAAAAAAAAAAAAAAAAAAAAAAAAAAAAAAAAAAAAAAGGTGCTTTTTGCAGATTTGTAGATCAATCTACAATGTATTTTAGAGGTTTAAGAAAGTCAATATAAACAAGATATATCATAGCTGCACAAGAAGCTGAGAAGTTGTATTTCTATTTATGCTGCTACTGGCACTCTAGCTGCTGGCTCAATGTCCTGCTGCAGTCCTACACCACTACTTCTCCAGCAGGAAAGTTGAGGGAAGGAGCTCCAGTTCATCCCCCCCCCATTGGTTTTAGCAGGACAACTCAGCCCTGGGGCTGGCTGGGGTCTGATATACCTGAAGTGTGTCACCGCTGCACCTTGTGCCCTGCTGGCACAGGGAGGGCAGTGGCCAGGCTGACCTCCCACGAAGTGCAGCTTGTCTCCTCAGGCCTCTGTCCCCACAGGCTCAGCACACAAACTGGCTCAGCTCTCTGGGGACTCTCTGGGCAGTGCTGAGACAACCCCTTGGCATTTGTTTCTCCAGCTGGTGCTGCTGCAGAACTGCAGTGGCCTGACCTCTACAAACTCACCCCCAGGGACGTGACAAGTTGGCTCCCTCCCACAGACACGTCTGCCACGTGCCCACCATTCCTCTTGAACCATCCTGGCATGGCTTGGGAGAGGCCTCCCACAGATCTCTCTTCCACCCTTCTGCCCCCTCAGCTCCACTGCAGGGCGCTACAAAGCATATTCAGAATTTTTCTCTCCCTTTGTTATTATAGTGAGTCACATACCATGCCTTACCAAACCAGACCTAAATCAAGTCAGTCCCCAGATCCAACATGTCAGCCATTAAACATGCAATTATCCTGCAATAATTACAAATCCATGAAAGGGTCTCATCCCCTCACGGGCAGGAGTGCTCACATCGCTGCGGTGGAGCCTGTCCTAATGAGCCACCAGGAAGCGGATCCCACTGGAACTGACCACACCCATTTCCGAGTCTCCATGAGGCACAAAATCCCATCTCCTGGCTTTCACCCTCTGCCTCAGAGGGTGAAGAATAAAGTGTGCATCTGGATGGGAAAGACTTGGCTGTACACCCTTGGTCAACAGGAAGAAGTCCCTGGGCTGTGGGATGCCCAGCTCCAGACATCCTTCTGCCCCAGAGCCCACGCAGGCGTGGGAAAACAGGTCACCCTGCAACAGAGGAAGCAGAAACCAGCTTTCTACCCTTCCTACACAGCTAAAACTTGTGCAAATGCCTGCCACACATCCCACCAAACCCTTTGGGAGCAAACCTGGGAGAGGAAGGCAGTGATGTAGGGCAGGGATCGGCAGCTGACGCACTGAAGCTGGCAGGAGCACCAGCCTGCTGATGCTTCTCCAACCCCCTTCCCATCTCTCTGCCAGGCTCAAGCTCCTCTAGCAGCACATCATCTGGGCTGGGCTCTTACTCATCTGCTGCCATGCACAAGCAGGCGTCAGGGGACGTATCATTGCACAAATCCGAGGAAGAAACAAGCAGCATTAACTGGTAGCACGTGTGCGTGGAGACCCCTCAAACTCTTTTTTTCCCTTGCTCCCATCTGCTCTGCTCTGGGCCACTAAATCCAATTCAGCAGCGCTCAGAGCTTGTACCAAAGCTGCGACACATTTGTCAGATCCCTGACTAGACCCATGGCTAATTTTACAACGCTAATTTATCTCACCATATTATATCGCTTTCATTTCATCCCCCCAGGATCCCATTACTGCCAGTGTACCTTGTAGCCAGCATGTAACAGTAATTGGTATTATTAGCGACGTACCCTGCTCGAGCTGCTCTATTTGCAGAGCTGCAAGGAGTCCCGTGGGTGGGCTGATCTACCTCGAGATGGGGAGGGAAGGAGTCCTTGTTCCATGCCGCTCCACAGATGCCACCAAGAAGCAACACCAAGGGCAGGGTTTTGCTGCTGCCGAGCATCTCTGCATGCCCAGACTCCAGCCCACTCCGTGGCTCCATCAGGTGTTGCCCACCCCTGGAGTCCTTAGCCTTGACCTCTTAACTCCAGGGCAAACAATCAAGCGTGCACACAGGGGGCATTTCTTGTCATTGCTTGTGGGTCAAAGGATAAAGGACTCTGCTTATCCAGGGTTGAAGGGGCTGCAAAACAACTCTGGGAAGCATGATGCAGGGGTAGAGGGCAGGGAAGGGGCACAGGGAAAATTCATTATTCAGGCTATTTTGGTCAACAGTTTCTCCTCTTCAGTGTAAGCCATTGCTTTCTAGGATCAACATAATTAAAGTCATGCAGTTTTAGCTAAGTGAGAGGCTGCACTAGTCAAACGGTGACAATTCCCACTTAAGACGTCCTTGTCTGGCATTTAGAGACTTGTGAAATTTTAATTCATCATTTTCTTTTTTTAGGCACAGCACCAGCAAGCACTGGGCTTCCCCAGCACGGCACTGCAGGGTCTGCATCCCCAGCTGGGGCAGCTCTATCTCCAGGCTCCTTCCCTGCTCCACCAGGGCTCAAAGAACATGATCCCCTCCTCCAACAGCACTCTGTCACCACAGCCCCATACTGAGCACACATGTAACAGGCCTCAGAGGTGGGGCAACCTCTTGCCCATGGCTGCTGGTGGTGGTGGTCTCCTAAGGGGATGCATTCCGTTCCAAGCAAAGCCCATGCACCTCACCCCTGATGCTGCAATCTGCCAGGGCAGGAAAGCAAAAAAAAAAAAAAAAAAAAAAAAAAACCCAGCAGACCTGAGAGCTTCAAGTTGTGTTTGTTTGCAAGAGGTGGCACCTCACCTTCCATCACACAACTGGGCTGGGTGACACTTACCTGCTCCAGAGGGGTTCAGCCACAACACGGGACCTCTGTGACTGTGGTCTATGCACCTCTGAGCTGCCCAAAGGCCTTTCAAGTGGGAGAGCTCTTTTTGGAGAAGTTGTCCATGGACAGACCACAACATGGGATTTTCCAGGCTGTTCATCCATACTTGCCCCTTCACATCCTAAATAACCACTCTCAGCATCTGGCCTCTTTGCACAGCAGCTAAAAGGCTGCTCACGCGCCAGAGCCAGGAGCAGCCTTTTGCCACACTTTAATAAACACCACCATCCTCACCAGAAGACACATGTCCTGCACTCCCACAAAGCACACCAACTCAGGATAAGCTGGGTGAGCAAGGTTTTTAACCCACCTCTTACCTCTCCACCAGTCCAGAGTCCTTGGGGTGTCCCCAACTTCTCATAAACGTCTGGGTAGTTCTTCTGGGATGCTTGTCCAACCCTTGCTGCTCAGATCTGGGAGTTTCTTCAACAAAAGAGAAGAGACAACCTGTCAGGTTACCAGGTCAAATTCTGCCATTGCTTCAGGTTCAGCGAACAACCAAGGCGGGGGGGCATCTGTTTCCCAGCCCTAGCAGCTGGGGGTAACCGGTGCAAGCACAAACCTAGTTAGAACAAGAGCCCTCCCACAAGAGCGTCACAGTCCAGCCCCAAAGCACGTATTTGCTTAATTACTTCGATTCAGAGACATGAAATGGGAGAGGGGAAAAAAGACCCCTGCAGCTTGGGGCATCTCTGATCTTTAAAGGCAGACAGCAATGCTCCCCAGACACAACAGCACAGAAGCACCACACTGTCAGCCCAGCACCAAGGCATCCGCCCATGAGGTCTTGTGCTGCCTGAGCCCTAATCCTGAAAAGCCTCACACACGTGTTAAATGGTGCAGGGAGAGGCCAGTCCGACTGAACCCAGGAGTGTGAACAGGAAAACATGCCTGCATGGCTTTGCAGCACAGACACCGAGGACTGGAAATGGGAGGAGGACTTTCCGTGCTAGGTCTGACACGCTGCCTGGTGAGATGGAGTCAGAGGCACTGGTGTAACCAGTGCTGCCCTCTCTTACAGCAGGAAATACGCTTTTTTGTGTTAGACAAACAAATTATCAGTCGAGATCTGTGCTCATTATCCAGCTCTTGTGGCTGAGGTTGTGTTGCTCCCCCTACTTTTTAAATGCTTTGAAGGGGGAAAAAAAAAAAAAAAAAAAAAAAAAGTCTTACGGCTCTGCATTATTAAAAATGAAAAATAGGAGCCAAAACCCACTGGCAAGAGAAAAGTCTGGGACTCACTCCTGCAGAGATTCTTTCACAAGGGTGACAGTGACTTCAAGCATGGAACACCACAGGCTTTAATTAGCACCCAACCCTCAGCTGATGAGCTTTGCCAGAGTTCCTCCCAGGACCTCATGCAAAGCCTGGACAACGGGAGGATGCTGCACAAACCCAAACTACAACCCCCCCCCCGTCTACCTCCTGCCTGCCTACAAAGCCTAAATAAATAAATGACCACCCCCTGAAACTACACTGGGTGCCTGATGGTGAAACCCTCATTTGCAAAGTGCTTGGAAATAATTACAAAATTTTCCCAGAGTTTACAAGGAGGAAAGCTGACTGTTTGTCATGCCGGCAGCCACAGTGTGCCTCAATTTATCACACCTGTCAGGTGTCAGCCACCAAGAAATTTAACTCCAGCTGCCCCAAGCTCAGCACCCACAATGCCCCATCATTCAAAACCTGCTCTGCCAGGCACCCCAGGGCTGAGGAGTGACTGGCGAGGGGAGAGGGCTGCTCCCCACCAAGCCTCCTCTCTGCAATGAAAATGTAACTCTTCAGGTTTTTTTTTTGGAAGCATTTTTGGTTGTGGGTGTTGGGTTTTTTCCCTACCCACAGATGAAGTGGAACAGAAAAGAAGACCAGGCTACAGCAAGAGATGAGGCTCATTTATCACTACCTGCCAGAGACCCTCCTGAGCTCTAATTCCAGCTTGGTAAGGACCTGAGAAGAGAGACTGAGCTTAGCAGTGTGTACCTTCAGGGAGATAGTGCATTATTATGGGTACAAAGAGCAAAATCCCAGTGCCTTTTCTGAGAGACATCTCTGAAACCTGTGGAAAGGACTGACATTCTCTGCCCCCTCTGTGCCCTGTGCTGAGCTGGATGAGCCAGCCCTTCCACAGGTCCAGCAGCCCAGCTTTCCACATGGAAATCAAAGCATGACTTGCTTTTTAGGGGCTTCAAATTGAGGTCAAACTGGATTTTGGAGGAACTTAGCATGTCCAAAACAGGTCAGCTGGAGGATCTGACTTGGGGCATGAGTTGCTCCTGAGCCAGAGGGAAGATCTGTGTGCTGTGCTTCCCCATAATAATGGGACAGCCTTGATCACAGCTCAGGTGGGCTCACATAAGGAGCAAATGTCATCAGCCATAGAGCAGGGACAAGTCCTGGTCAGGTCCCTGCAGGAGGGCTTGCATCACTGCTGAGCTCACCCTGAATCACCAGCACTCGAGGTCTCAGCATCGCCGTGGTCAGGGCATTTCATCAGAGTGACACCTGTTTTATAGGGCCTGTCTGGGCTGCCCCACAGAAATGCTCCTGCTTTGGCCATTTCTGTAGCAACAAGCTGACTTAAGAGAAACCTGCCTGCAAAAGCACTAACTTTTTAGACAGGTCCTTGCAGAATGCTGGAGGAAGCCCAGCACTCATGGCATGCTGCATGTCCCACACAATACATGTGCACGGCACAGCAAGGGCTAATAGATAACTGAACCACTTGCTTAATGAAAAAAAAAAAATCCAAACACACATCATTTGCCAAAAACCTCTCTCTCCAGCACAAGCTGGGGCCACACTGATCAGGGATCCACGAATTTTACTTGCACCAACAGAAGGGGCCCAACATTTCCCAGCAGCGAGGCATCCCTGCAGGAGCTGGGGGCACAGGTTTGGCAGAGCTGCTCCTGCTGCAGGGAGCTCCCTGCACATGCTGTGGGTGACACACCCACACAGCAATTCAGAGCCTTGCCACTTGGCGAGGGGAAGGCAGATTTTTGTGGCGTCAGCAACAAGCAGAACCCTGATGCCTGGCTCAAAACCGTCCCCAAAACTGTCAAGCCCTGTCTCACAGCACAAAGATATTGGAATTTCTTCAGCACAACTGCAAGAATTTTTCTGCTTTTTTTTTTTTAATTGTTCTGAGAGCAGCTTAAAACTGTCTTTGCTAAAATTTTCCAAAAAAATTCAGCCGGAGGCAGAGACATGTGAAGTTTCAGTCCAAATGGTTAAAGGCTGGCGTCGTTTCAAGCAACTGAAGACAGGGGCTTATAATCAGAAGTGTCAGGCAGCCTTAATTATATTATTTCCTGAAGGAAATAGTTTTCCCTGCTGAAGTCCAGGAGTTATTAAAAAAAGTTGACCTCACTGGAACCAATCAAGATGGAGACAAGAAGCCTGTGATGGATTCTTAAGGCAGGCGTGTTCATGCATCTGTATTTTCAGGGATCCAGGATTTTAGGACAGGTGTTCCCAGACAAGCCTGGCTTTGCAACAGCTGAGAGCCAGGACCCAGGATGCAGAGCCCCCTCCCATCCATCCTCATGGGTGCCCTGGAGAGGGGCACGTGGGAGCCCCATGCATCCAGGGAGGGTGCTTGCCTGTGCCCAGATCGATTGCCTTGCCAAGGCGAGCGAGGAAAAACAGCCGGATGCTTTGTAGCTGTCAGGAGCACACAGGCTTTTTGTCCATGTCTTCCTCTGTGCCCATAAATAAAAGTGACAGCAACTTTATTTAGGACTTCTTCCAGTTAAGAGGGGATGGAAGAAAAGTGAAAAATTAAATCGTAGCTCAGCAGAGGCAGAGGGGGAAGGTCCTGGAGGCACAGCTCAGGCTGTGCCACTGCTGCAGCAGCCTGGGGTGGTGGCAGCCCTCACTCTCCAAAATCAGCACCTCCTCATCCCCATCAGTGCACCCCTCTACCCTGCCCTTCCAGGCACAGAAATCCCAATCCCAGCCCAGTCCCACACTGTGTCCTCTGCCTTCTGCTGCCCATCCACTCAGCAGTGCAAGCTGAGAAATTCAAGCATCTGGAGTGAGTTGAGGTGGAATAACCATGTCTTCTTACATCCTAAAAGAGACTGAAACAACCCCCAAATAATCCAGAGGAGAAAGTCACCTCTTCCCTGCACGTGTGCAAAGGCTGTACTGGTAGCACCAACAGCTGCCCCAAAAGGCAGCTCAGCCCTGTGCAGCTCACCAGCGTGGCTGAGCAGGGAGTGCAGCATCTCCATCAGGATCCACTACCACAGAAAGTCCTGTCTGTTTGGCTATAACTTCCAAGGAGTATTTTACAACTGAGGAAAGACCCCCTTTCCATAAAAAGCATGAGAAGAGCAGGAGAGGGGGGAAGGCTGCTCTGCAAGAGGGCTGAGCACCCTGCAGACCCAGCCCCCAGCAATGCCCTAGCATGAGCGAGAACAGCCAGGGTTTGAGCATCCCAGTCTGCTCTCCCCAGCTCCCTACAGCCTCTCCCAGCAGCACAGCACCTCGTGTCTCACTGCGGTATTGCAACACACTGATAACAAGCTTTGTTTCAGCCTTCATCCTGCTTCCACCAGCGCTGAGCCAGAGCTATGCCACAAGCCAAAATCCAGTTCCATAGGGACTGTATGATTGTGCCAGTTCCCAGGTGCTTAAGGCATTGACTGCAGCTTGTCTGGAGTTGTGCCCTGCACTTGCACACAAACACAAAAACTCAGGGCAGGTGTGCAGGAAAGAATTCTCTCCCATCCTGGGGATGAGCCCACCCCATGCAGAAAGGTTTAGGGTGGAAGTTGTGTGCAGGTCCCGTGGGACAGAGGCTGCCAGTGACCTCATGGGTTTCTTCCACTGCTGCCCTCTCCGCTGCCATGAGTCAGAGATTAATGACAGGCCATTTGTCAGCACCGGTGGCATCATTGCCAATCTCATTTCTGAGCAGACATCTGACCTTGCTTGCCTCCCCGAGACCCATGTTACCGCATGGCTCCAGCAGCCTCCTGACAGCTCCCAGGGGAAGCAACACAAGGCAGGGAACTGGGCTGTGACAGCTTGATCCTGAGTCAGGATGCACAGACAAACAGCTCAGGATGAGCAGTGAGTGTTTGTCAGCTTGCCCCACTGCCCTACCCCCCTCCCAGCTGGAACCCAAGAAAGGGCCTCTCTTACCAAGCACTGGGTTAGGTTATGGAGAAAGGAGATCTGTGTCCAAAGATGAGGGCACAGGCAAAGCAAGCCTTGCCTGTAACTCTGGAAGGAAGAGGAAAGAGGGTGCGGGGGACATATGATCTTTTCCCCAAGCCTGCAGTATCTGTGTCTCTGCCCACACTACCCAGACAGCTGAAGGGATCTGTGTGCAGTTCCAGATGGGGCAGCTTCTCCACAGTCAGCCGTGACCCAGACTGAATCTTAACCCAGATCTCGCTCAAAGAGGAGACCAG